CCATACTATGAATAATAAAGGCCTAAAATAATTCCCTTGTATGTTTTTCACAGTATCTGCTAATTATTCACGTTTTCTCTAAAAGCCTCGTCCCACTAGAGTGACAAACACCGATTTTTGTCCGACGACACCACAAAGTTCCGTGTCGCCGATGCTGTCCCACTGCAACGGCCAACACCCGCGACAATCGCCGACAAACCATCGACGACGGACGAGTTCTTGTCTGTTGTTGGACTTGAAGCGCAGCAAGCAGTCCCACCGAGGAACATCTGTTGGATACAAACTTATCCTCCTCGCCCGCTTGTGCCGTCTGTTGCTTCTCTTTCCACCCTTCCACCCTTCCTCCCGTGGCTTGCTCCACCGCTCGACCTTCAGAGAAGCCCTTGGCGGCCTCTCCTCGTTCCCGCAGTTCCAGTCCCTCGATTGCTCATAGTGGTCGCGGGCGCGGCTTGCTTGCTGGCGCTGGGCAGTCATGTTGCGAAAGGCTTGTCTGTGGCTGGTTTTGCTTGCAAAAACTTGGTGCGCGATTTGGTGCTTCAAGACGCCGAGGTCTACGCCCCTAAATCAGGATGGATACACCCATGTTCGAGGACTGACCAAAGACCGCTCACCACGAAGTAGGACACGACGTTCCGCGGCAAGCCATTCCGGCAGACGAGACCTGTCATTACGTTCTGTGATGATCGGGATGCTGTATTGTCCCCCATAAAACGCCTGCCCTCGATCATTCGGATATGAAGTTTTAAACATCCTCAAAATCAGGGTGAAATTCCTTGGTGCTAACTTAGAATTCCTCGAACGAACCCCCCCCCCCCCAAAAAAAAAAAGGAACGATTCGGGTATTCTAGTTCAGAAAAAGTTTAGTGTCAATTGTCACGACTGTTTGTGGAAAGTCGCCAACGGCAAATGAAGAGAAGCGGAAGCTTTAATCAAGAAACAAAGTAATTGTCTCCACTTTCACCGTGTTTGTCGGCGCATTTAATGCCCAAAGAGCAAAATATGAAAACCGCATCGCCAGACTGTTTATCTGTGTATTTTGAAGTGTTTTGTTGACAACTCCAATCCCACTAGGAAAGAAGTTTCCTCGTCCCCGTGTCCTGCGTCGTGTCCGCCAGGTGGGACAGCGTGCGTCGTGTGTCGCTGTCGTTTGTTGCTGTCTGTCGCTCTAGTGGGACGAGGCTATAAGGATGACACACGAGCAGTGTAAATAGTGCATAAGTAGGTGACAATTCATCGTAGACTTTAGAGAGAGATTAAGCTGTCTTTATGTATTGGCCATCAATCTGTTGCCTTAACAGACAAGGAAATTATGGTTTTAAAATCTGCTCTTGCTAATGGGTGAATCGGCGCATTCCACTTGGGCCTGTGCTTGAGCTCCTTCCGCATTCTTTATTTTTTCCTTCTCTGTTCATGCGAGTCGAGAGTCTGCGCTTGCGTATGGTTTACACGTAACTCTGCTTGTCTCCTTGCCTTTTGTGGTGAACTGTTTTTCAAGCTGTTCAATTAGTAAAGCTCACCACCTTACTACAATTATGCAACAACTAAAAACAATTACAACCTACACCATTCGCTCAAGGCAGTACCAAACGAAAAAATACAGGGATTGGGTGAGGCATGTCTAACACTATATACTTACACTGAATATACCTCTCATAAACTGGCGAGACACTACCTTAATCCAGGACATGCTTGTAAATTTCCCCAAAAGCGGCATCAAAAAATTATTTCGTGGGCACAAAGTTTTGCGATCAGGAGCGGTATGCTATGCAAATCACCATGGGATGAATTCATCGCGGCACCAATTTTTGACAATTCTTTTCTGATAACGAGTCACGAAAATAAAGCCGTTTGCAGACGACTGCGCGGCGGAAGCTACGGACTTGCTCGATCCTCCTCTGCCTTTTGCCTGGCTCAGCTCTCCGGACGCAAATACGCACACGGAATCCACCCGTAGTGTCTAACCTAGAGCTTAGACGATGGAGGGGCACCGCGCTGAGTTGAGTGCTTTATTTTTTTTTTTTTTTTTTTGGGGGGGGGGGGGGGGGGGGGGCACCGCGCTCTTCCAGCATCCTAGTTTACCAGTGAACAATACGGTGGAGGGAGGCAATCAAACTTCCCCCCCTCCCCCTCCCCTTTCCGCCTCCACCCGCCGGCTAGCCGGCTGGCCGGCCGGCCGGCCGCCCGCACGCCCGCCGCCGCCGCCGGCGCCGCCGTCCCCCCCCCATCTCCCAAAAAGTTCCGCCGCTATTGATGGACCTGGACCGAGTACACAGCCTATTTGTGAACGAAGCAAAACAGCCTCGCATAGCACCATTCGCGCACAATTAGTAATACTGGTAAAAGCAAGCGATCTAGACAATAACAAGCATTTTGAACGGAAAAAAGAATAATCTAGCCCTAACGGGCAAAGAAAGGAACTTACTTTGAAACGACCGTGCCATGATCTTGGCTGTTGAGCAGATTCGACGTAGTTCCACGGCTCACAGTCGCTTCCTTCTTTTTCGGACACATTTGAAACTAAGTTAAACTCCACGCATCACGACTAATCGTTAAATTGACCTCAAGACAGAGACGTGAAACACACATGGCCAACACGTCCGGCAAAACAAGGCTGCGGATTGGATTGGATCGCGTTCGTTGGCTATTATGGATGTCTAACGACTTCTCTATGTTCGCGTATCTTCATCACGCTTGCAATAAAACGATCAGCAAAGCGCATTAAAAAACTATTAAAAGACACAGTAATAATGAATCATTGAGTATGCAAAAATTGCCACAATATTAGAAATACGTCCTGAACACGTAACAAAAAATTACATACGAAACTAACCGTACAATGTATTCAAACGAACTCAGCAGACATACAAACTACTAAAAACAACGCGTTTTCGATTTGGCGATTTGGTCTTGGTGGTTAACGCGCGATGCGGGTGATCGTGTGGTCGGTGGTTCGAATCCCGGGAGCGCGAAGTTTTTTATTGTTTTTTTTCCTACGTTTTTTATTTCTTTTTAATGTTTTTTTTTATGTTTTTTGCAGTTGCCGGCCCCTTACTTTAGGGTACAAATCACGCAAAATGTGGAAATAAGAAGTGCGAGCCCAAATTTAAATTGATGGAATGCACAAGCCGTGGCCCTCTTGTTTTGCCGGGATAATTCGCTCCCTCCGTGCTAATTTCTGGGTCAGTGTAGTAGGCAAACAGCGCAAGTCCTTTCAACGAAGTAAAGAAGGTTATAATAATGGGAATATTGAGAGCAAAATGAGAAAATGTGTAAGTGGTCAAACTGCCACAGTGATGCAGCCGAAGTTTGTCTGAAGGTGGTCAACTTTACCCACTGTTAAAACAGAAATACCGCTATTTTAAGACAGTTATTTAGCTGAGCTCACAGCGCGGTACGTATTAAGCACATCTCTTATTTTTCTGACTTACGGAAAGTAGTACTTAATTTTCTTCTGGTACATCAGTGATATTTCCCTCGCCTGCCGCCTGATTGTACTTATCGAGGTTGCGCTCCGCAGTTTTACTTTTTTATTAGGCCTAGACATGTTTTTATTCCTCAGATCCAAGAACAGTGCGGATAATTAAACTAGCTTTCAGAGACGGCATCGTTCGGTATTAGAACATTTACGTTTCGCAGCGTCAAGGGGTCACATTCACGACCCGGCAGTGTAAACATCCACAACGACTTTATCGTGTTAAAAAAAAAAAAAAATAAAAAAAAATGTTTTGATATTTTTTTTTTTTTTTTGTTTTTGGTGCGGTATGTCGTATATAACATAAGCTACCGGGGGACAGATCGTCTGGCTATGTCAAAATTTGAAATATTTCTGTTAGATGATCGTAACTACCACAGAAAACAGCCGATTCTTGACTGAAATAGCATATTTTCACACTCAATTAAAATCACCAATAACACGATCTCAGGAGAGTTATGTACTTCTCGTAGCGTCATAAGCAATACACACATCTCTTTCTTGTCCAGATTCTGCAATGCAATGCAAATTATAGTTTTTGTAACTCAAAGCGCGTGCTCAATCATGCCACGTGTTTGTTAATTGTGGTTGTTGCTCTTCATTCGGATTCTCCGCTACACCGTTTTTATTTTAATTTTCTTATCAGAGCCAAATACGTGCGTATACCACCGACCTTAAGTATAGTGCATCAAATTAAACTAGCTTCCTGAAAAGGTATCGTTCGGCGTTGTGTAATTTATTCTTCATGGCGTTGGTGGTCAGATTCTCGAATTCTGAACTGCAAATGTTCCTCGCCGCAGTGTTTTTTTCTCGCGTTTTCGCAATAAAACACGTCAGCCTTGCCATGCTGGGATCAAATACACCAGCGTCGGCAGTTATTTGCGAAGGATCGATCTATGCGAATATTTCCACTCGCTATTTATGAATTGCCACAGTTCGTCAGAATCTGAATGACTTGACTGCATAGTAAAAACGGCAAAAAAAAAAAAAAAGATAAAACGATGTCGGTTTGTAAACGGAACTTCCATGGCGGGGCTCGCCAGCCTAAACAGCAAAGCGCCGATGCCGGCCAGTCACTGAACTTCCGTGTAAATACTGGCCATCAGAGACAGCAAAGTGCCGATGCCGGCCAGTTACTGAACTTCCATGTAAATACTGGCCATCAAAGACAGCAAAATACCAATGCCGGCCAGTTACTGGAACCTCCATGGAAAGACTGGCCAGCAAAGACAGCAAAAACCCGATGCCGGCCAGTCACTGTAACTTCTTCGGCTGAACTGGCCAGTGAGCAAGACGAAACCCCGACGCCGGCCGGGGCCGGTAGCTCACCGGCGCCAATGGCCGGGCGCCGCCATCCTGTTACCGGGACCGGCCGGCGTAGTCCCGATACCGGCCGACGCGGTGTGCTACCTGGGTATTAACCACTAAATAATTTATCTGTACCGTCATTTAAAATAATTGCTTGTAAACTGGAGACCCAAAATAGTATATTACTTAATTAAGGAAGTTAGAGTATAGATGCACATACCTTTGTAGTGATTTCTTTTGAGATTGGACAGCTTTTCTGACAGGTACCGCCGTATCTTCTGGTGCCGGGCTGCCCTTTCAGCCTGGTGGTACCTTTCTCCCTCAGGTATAGTCAAAAGCAGCCTGGAATATTGAAATTCCAGGGTGATTATTTTTTGCAGTGCTCAGACTTAAAACAATATAGAACGTCATAAATACAGGCTGGAGGGTCATAGTTTGGGAAGACCAAGGGTATATTAGTCTCAAATAAAAGCAATTAAGTGGCAGCTGGCACCTAACAAACCTTCAACGTTTCTTAGTATTTACAGTGTTCAGAGATCACCATGAAAGCAAAAGTACCGCAGTATCCTGATTTATGTTCCACTCCCAATAGACAGCTCACCCTGGCTTCTGTTAGATTCTTTTAAGCACAAAACAGGTAGCCCATGTCTATAAATCTCACTGCTAGGCTAGTGACCTTGTAAGAAATAGGAGCTACAACTGTAGATAAGTAGACAATGTACGTTGGAAACTGCTTATACTTGGTTATCATCCGTCGCTGTGGTAACAGCTTAGACACGCCACAGAATTAAAAAAATAGCATCATGAGCACCAGAAAGAACAATGCAGTTCTATATAAAAACAATCTTTCACATTCCTTGAAAGATCTTCCATTCATGGCCTGGCTCTAAATTTAAAGGTAATTAAACAGTCTTTCAATGTGCACCTGGTGGAGGCCTCTGAAACTTCGTTGGGAGGTAATCTAGCAATGTTGGGGATCTTGGACGTAGTCGTGACATGGCGAAAACCGCTATGTAGCTGCACTACACATCGGAGCAGCGCCGCTGTTTGGAGGTATACTCAACTGTTGGAGTAATCTCGCCCTGAACGCGATGACCTTGACATTACTTATCTCACACATAGGCGCTTAGACAGCTTAGTCCGCTTTGGTCCACGTAAAGCCCACAGGTGTTTCAAATGGCTAGGCTGTAACACGTCTACACCACCACTATGCACCCGAACGGCACAGCTCGTAGCCACGCCAGCTTTGCCGGATAGCCCACGACGCATCGAGCTCTCCGTTGACTTCTCTTCGAGCACTTGCTCGAGTTTGTTGCTTAGAACGAAAAATAAAATTATCTGTTCAAAATACAAATGTGCGATTATTTACGGTTATTATCTGTTATGATTGACTCATTCTTGGCGGGGTACCCCCATCACATGTCCAGGTGTTAGCAGAACCTACTTGAGTAAAATCTCGGTAATACTAACTGGTACGAATTTCGGAATAAAACAAATTAACAAATTCCCCGGCCGAAGTGCATTGTATACGACGTGAAAATTTTTGGGTGTTCCGAATTCCTCTACGCACTGCGACGGCTGATACGAATGCGGGCTCCACAACTGATAGTGGCAAGGAGGCCACGATCGGCGACTGTAAGCTTTCAAGGCTCCGGGCGGCTGATTGCCTGTTGCTGCCAGGGATCAGCCGCACTTTACCCAAAAACTGGAGCTCAAAATTACATGCATGTTACAATCGGACCCAAAAACCAAAACTAAACAAATTGCTAAAAAAAAACTGCAAAGTGGCCAGCCCCGTCACCATCAACACATGTTTCAAATGCAATCCAATCTGAATCCAAAATCGCTTTTTTGTTTTTGCGATCTCGTGGAATGGTGTTCCAGCCTTGGAAAAGCAAAACCGATTTTACTATAAGGTTAGCTCTAAAAAACAAAGTAACTGCGTTGGCAAAAACAGAAAACCGAGTGATGTTGGTGGTGTCCACGGTGACATGCGAGCTTGGTTGGAAAGACAAAGAAACCGAATTTTTGCTTGCAAGTTTTTGATGTAGGGCTTCAACAGCACATAGTGTGGGCACTTTCCGAGTATGTGCATTTGATAAAATGTTTTCCACAAAGTGTATGTTGTTCAGCCGTCATTATTTTATCTGCGAAGTAGAATCGACATTTATCTGCGCAGTAGAATCGACATTAATTCATTTTTTCAACATTCGTGGGTTGATTATAACCGTGTGTTACTATCGGGGGCGTGTTAGAATCGTGTAAATTGCATACAAGATATTTTCTGTCATAAATAAATGCCCATTCATGCATTCCTTGTGTTTCAAAATATAAATTTTGTTTCTCTTTTGTTGATACGAATTTAGCATGAAATATTTTACGCGACTCCGCGAGATTCATATCAAGATTTTAAAAATGCTTGCTTAATGAGAGAGCCTGCACCTTCCGCTGAGTGAGCGGGGCAAACGCCTTCTCTTGCGTCGCTGCCTTTGCCTTGTTGGAGAGGGTGCCGGTCACCGACCTCTCCAAAAGCCCTTCCACTCACCCTATGGAAGCAGCAGTGATCTTGCAAAACATGGAGTCGCACTCTGCTCTCCGCATGTTGCCCGCATTCCTGGTTGACGTGCACACCTTGCCCGACATGGATCTGTTATAAACAAAAGCGAGAAACAGCTTCACATATACCAGTCGTTGACGTAGAGTGGTACTGTATACTCCAAGATGCATTGAAAATGCACTAAAATTATTACATTAATGAAATTTAGGCCTTTAAATTTAAGACAGCACTACACATGAATTCCTATCTTCATGGGCGTCTGCGAAGCTGATGGGCCTACAAAGCTTCATGGCATCTGCATGAAACAGCAACATAATCCCTTAGTTGCATCAGGTGAGCATGACAACAGAATGTTTTCCAGGCACTGGCTGTAACTACAATTAAGAGCCTGGCTACAATAATGTTTTAATGACTTCTTGTTGCAATCGATTCAATCTACTGTGCTTACATTATCTCAGGAGTGGCCAAAGTGAGGCTCGCGAGCCGCACGCGGCTCTTTGCGGGTCCAAGTGCAGCTCGCGGCTCCCTGGAAAACGTGTCCCCTAGACGAAAAGGGTTCTAGAATTTAGAAAGAGCTACAAGTCTTGGCAGCCTGGCAACACACTACATATATACACCTGGAATGCTTTTTGCCACATAGATGCGTCGAGTGACCCCGTTTCCTTTATTGTTCTAGAAAGACTTTCAACCGTATACGCATAACAGTTGTCAGGGGCAGTGACTGGCTAGTGAATCGTGTATTAATTTTTGCTTAGCAGTGGAAAGGACCTTCTGATTCATAGTGTCATTTGTTGTTATCGCCCATTATACTTGTAATCTATGGAAATAACTGTTCCCTGCATATTGTTTCTTGTTAAAAGTAGCACCCCCCCTTTCTTTCTTCCAGCGACTCTAAACTTTCGTAGTTTTGTCTGCGGCTCTAACTCCATGTCACTCTGGCCACCCCTGCACTATCCTAAACTCTTTTAATGTATATTATACACTGAATGAAAGTGAAAAGTTTTTCTATTTTACCATTCCTTCCTTTTCTGGAGGCCGATGCTAGGATCCACGATCTCATTCTTTGCAAGGATGTCCTCGTCAGCAACTGAAAAAAACAATTTCACCTTAAAGAGGTACAGAAACCAAATTCCAGCGCTCATTTTATCGCTTTAATGAGTTGCAGGTTGCAACATAACCTCAAAAATACCAGTCCTTTCCTGAAGGGCACAAGCAAACTAATTTTAAAGCTAATCAAACAATCTTTCAATGTGCACCTGGTGGATGCATGTGGAGCCTATTTGGGAGGTAATCTAGCAACATTGGGGAACTTGCTACGTAGTCATGACGTAGGAAGGACATTCCTCGGTCATTCTGCTCAGCAACAGAGCGCAGCCACAACAGTAGAGTAGAGAGCTCTTTGCCGTCCATGCCTTCTTTCTCAGCATTATTGTTTCCACCCTTTATGAATGAATATCCTCTATGCAAGATATAAGCCATGTGTTGCTTATGACATGTTCGGCTCTATCACCGCACAGCAAACTTCTTTCATATACTGCAGGTTCATTAAAAAAGTTACCTTTTTAATGCTAAAGCATGGGTTCTGTTAGTACGGTAAACATACGAGTACCCAGAGGTCAGGCCATAAATGACTTACGTGTTAGGCAGTAGGGCCCTACAGCACCTCCCGCATCAACAGCCGAGCCGCAGGTAGTCCTGCAATTGATAGAGCAGGGTAAGTCAGAGAAAGGTGTTTCTAGCAGCTCTGCTGGTGTGCCCCCTAGCAGCATTCTCACGCACATTGGGGTGTAGGCAGAAAGCATGGCATTCCTCATCAACAAATCATGACAACACATTGTTGCCGGCACCAAACTGGATCCCTGTGCTATTTTTTTTTTTTTTTGTGATTTAGTTGATTCTTTGTCTTCCTTGTCACTCCCGACTGCTTTACTGGCCTTTGTGAAATAAAGAAGGCTTGGTAAACTGCAAAGCCTTGACTGAGTGGTGAAACAGAGCAATCCCAAGGAAGTATAAATGTTAAGGACTCGACATGACATTACGCAGTGTTGGGATTCCCAAGCTGCTCTCCACACTCACATTTTGTGCACGACCAGCTCTCTTTCTGAATCAATTGGATTGGCCAGTTGTGTGCCCATTTCGGTCGCTGCTAGCCATATGTGGCTGGCGCTGCTTTTGAGAGCCTTGCAACATCGTCACTTTCAGCTTTTGTCCTGACATAAACCGCATCTAAAAATTTAATTAGCGTTAAGATTTAGCGTTTGGACACTCCCAGAAAAAATAGGCTGTACCACATTACATAGACAGGTAATGATATTCTGGTGACAAAATTTCCACAAAAACTGCTTTGCGTTAGAGGGCACAAGGGCTGACGTTCCTGGGAGGAGCAGCTTTGTGTGAACTTGCAGATGCTTCAGCTGCCTGTTTGCGCCTGGCCAGTTCAGTTGCCATTTCCTCTTGGGTTTCTTGTAGGTACAGTCGGGGACAAAAGTCTCCAGGACACGCAAGCTGCGACTGAAACGCATTCCTCTGCCATCTGCCGGCGGGTCACCTGGTTTCGAGATCGCAGAAGGGCGCACGTGCGTCCTATTGTACCTGCCAACGTGTGCGCTTTCCCGCTCTGCTGCGGCGCGGCGCCTAACTCGGAATCGGGCGCGTGGTACCACTTCGGAGATAGTGCTTACTGACACGGCACCTATAAAGCAAGAAGTCACGGCAGCTCAATTAAGCGATAAGCTGAACTGGTTATAAAGCAAGGTGCGCTGA